CGCGCTCCCGTGCGGGACTTCGTCACAATTCATGTACGCATCGCGCTCTCGCGGGGGTCTTCCTCGCAATTTATTCAGACGACGCGCCCTCGGCGCTCAGTAATCACGCTCTCGCTGAGACTTCCTCGCGATTCATGCAGGCCCACGCTTCAGCAACCCGCCTGCTCGACCTGGTCGCCTGGGCCCGCCTTCCCAACCTGCCCGCTATGAGCCTGCCCACCCGATCTGCCCGTCTGGTTCTACAACTTGTTTTCTGCTCCTTGCCCCCCTCCTGCTAATTTCTCTCGTGCTCCATTCTTCTTCCTCCCCCTTCACCCGTCCTCTCTTCCCTTGTTTCAGGGGCTGCACTAAGTCCACGTGGCAGGCAGGTAAGGAATGTCTACCCCCTAGGGGGTACGATCGAAGACGACGAGGGCGGCTAGCGAGGGTTTGGGATATACGTCTTGATTGGCACGTGAGAAGATCGGAGCGACACGTCTTAAACTGATTGTTGATGTTGCTGATGTCGTCGTCGTCGTTGTTGTTGTTGCTGCAGTTGTTGGTGTTGTTGTTTGTTAGTTTGCTTGCTTTGTCGTTGTTGTTGTGTTGTTCATTTTGATTTCTAAAGAACGAATGTTGTTGATTCGCCCTGCCTGGTGCACTTTGTGTTTTTTCAATTCGAGTCTTCCTTGAGGGGCTCGCTTCCGGTTGTTTGAAGTCTTCTTTAGTTTGTGTTGCTGTCCCCCAGTGTACAACAACAGGGCCTCATGTCTTGTCTTTACTCACAGTTTATTCCAACATCGCGCTTTCGCGCGGGATTTCTTCACACTATACAGAGATGGCGCTCTTGCGTCGGACTTCCTCACAATCTATTCAGACGCTGCGCCCTCGACGCTCAGGAATCGCGCTCTCGCTCAGGCTTCTCTTACGATTTACTTGGGGGTCGCGCCATTGCTCGAGACCTCCTCGGGATTCATGAAGGACTCACTCAACAGCAGCCCACTCGCTCGACCTGGCTGCCTGGGTCTGACTTCCCGACCCGCCCGTTAGGGTCTACCCGCCCGATCAGCCCGACTGGTTCTGCCATGTGTTTTCTGCTCCTAGCCCCCCTCTTGCCAATCTCACTCGTGCTCCATTCTTCTCCCTCCCCCTTCTATTCGTCCTCTCTTCATTTTTCAGGGCCTGCACCAATTACATGAGGCAGGTAAGGAAGATACACGCCCAAGGGCGTCCGATCAAAGACGAAGAGGGCGGGTATCGAGGGGGTGGGAGCACATTGAATGGTCCGCGAGCAAGTAAGAGTGAGCAGTCTTACAACGATTGTCATTGCTTGTGGTGGTGTTGAAGTTGGAAGTTGTGCTGCTGGTTTAGTGTGTTGGGCCACCCTCCACCCCTGAAGCTGTTGCACCACTGCGCGCTGTTGGTAGCATGGTTTGAGAAAGTCTCCGGCGAACGCCCCAGTTTGGAAAAAGAACCGTCTTCTACGCGTGTGATTGCTGGAATCTGTTGTGATGAATGTGCGCGGAGACTGGCAACAGCTGTTAGAACGGAATCGTCCGTTTCTGGAGTCCGGACCGCGCCCGGCTGCAACGCCTGTTGCACCACTGCGCGCTGTTGGTAGCATGGTTTGAGAAAGTCTCCGGCGAACGCCCCAGCTTGGAAAAGAACCGTCTTCTACGCGTGTGATTGCTGGAATCTGTTGTGATGAATGTGCGCGGAGACTGGCAACAGCTGTTAGAACGGAATCGTCCGTTTCTGGAGTCCGGGCCGCGCCCGGCTGCAGCTCCTGAGCTGCACTGCCGGCTGTTTGGTGTTCTCCGGGCTGCGTAGTTTCCGTGGCGCCAGAGATCCCAGACCGAGAACGTAGCTAGTTTCAAGAGGAAAAAAAAACACACAGGCACAATTAATCGTCGATTCCTCAGAAAATATGGGAAGCTGTCCCAGGGCCCCTTCAGCTAGTTCCTTACCTCGGCCTCCTTGCTTCAAGGGGCTAGTCTGCTGACGCTGCCTTGGCCTCTCCGGCCTCGCTCCTCTCCAGAGCACGCGCTCGCCAATTTCCACACCCCGCGCGGCCGGGAGTCCGGCCTCTGATTGCCCATCGGCGTGGCCAGCGATCAGAGCCAGAGGGAAGTGGAGAAACAAAAATCGGGAGCCTTGAAAAGGGGGGTCAATGCAAACGGGGGTCAGCCAGGGCACCAGATCCTGCAGGCTCCTGCGAAGACCCCCTCTGGCTGGCCCGGGTTGGCGAGCCGCTCGTGGCCGCGAGGCGGCCGCGCAGATGGGCTGACCCGGGTTTGCGAAGACCTCCGGTGCAGTTTTTTTTTCCTGCATTGCAGTTTTTGGTTCCCTGCTGACCCGGATCTGGATTGTTCCTGGTCAGAAGATCCCCGACAAAAACGGCCAGTTTCGCGGTGGCACAGGAGTGAGGAGGAAGCCAGCAGGAGGAAGCGGGGAGGAGTGATGAGTTGGAGGGCGGAGGCGGGAGGGAGTGGGGGGGGGCCAAGAGGGATGGGTGGCCGAGCGACCACGGGGCCATCGAGTGGATGAAGCCTCTGCCAGATGCGCTGATGGGAGGCCTGAACCGGCTGAAGGCCAACGAGTCCGCGAGGTGCTCGCCGTGAAGCAGAGGGGCCCCGAGGGGATGGTGCCCCAGGCGCGGGGGGCTCTCCGCAGGGCCCGATCTGCATCCTGGGCCGTTTTTGACGGTCCCGGGGCACCAGGTTGGCCACGAGCAGAGTTCGGGGGCGGCAAAGAGGGGGGTGATGACTAGGAGGGGGTGGATATCATGGCGTGGGCCATGATATTTCCCCAGTTTTCGCGGCGACTCTCCTTATTTCATTATGTCCCTGGGCCCCCCCTTGGGCCGCGCACGTGCCGCCGGCCATGATTTGCACCCCCCCCCTCTTGGACGCCCCCCTCTTGGCGGCCCCCGAAGAGTGGGGTAGGGGGCAGGGGGAAGGCTTCTTAGCAGCATCCCTGCTTCTTGGAAGGCTCGGGTCATGGCGCCAACATCGCAGAGCGGATCTCGTGCGGAAAACTATGGGATGGGCCCGTATTGTCCTGGCGCATGTCGCGTCGGATTTCGACGTGGATCTCATGCGGATGTTTCTGGCCAGGAATGAAGACTACAAGCATCCACGTGAAACTCACTTCGTTTTTCGCTCGCCTTGTCGGGTTTTCTATAGGCAGAAGTCCACCCAACACATACGCTGCAGCACGTCTGCAAGGTCGGTGCAATGACGCGGGCCTTGTCTATAGATGTAGTGCCGGCGTCTTCTAAGAAGCAGCCTCCTTTTCAGAAGCCTTCCCCCCTACCCCTGACCCCTATGTGCGCGCCGCCAAGCAGGGCCCCCCCCAACCAGCCAGACTCTCCAGGACCTCTTTCCTCTGGCACCGTGTCCGCTTCCCCCGTGTCAGATGTACCATTAAGTCGGGCGTGTCCTTCTACAGGAGGAATATCCAAACATCGTCAAGACAATAGTCTGGGGACGATCTGCTTTCGGTGTTGTTTCAGCTCTTTTTGACTTTTTTCCTGCGTAGTTTTGAAATGTTTGTCCAACGTCCGCCTGTCGGGGGGGACACGCCCGACCTGCAGGTACCAGCCACGCGCAGAGGGGGGTGGAGGGGGGGGAGGGCTTCTTAGAAGCACCCCTGCTCCTTAGAAGGCGCGGGCCTTATCTACAGATGTAAGGCCGGCGCCTTCTAAGAAGCAGCCTGCTTCTAAGAAGCCCTCCCCCCTCCCCCCACCCCCTTGTGCGCGCCGCCAGAGGTACCAGGACCTGATGAACACCTCCTACGCCCTGATGCTCCGCGGGGTGGACCGCTGGACCTACCGCCTCTCGGAGGCCGTCGGGGCCTGCGCGAGCTCGGCTGGCCGAGGGAGCCCCCGGGGGTGTCGCGGGTCTGGCGGGCCAGCGTCGTGGAGGGGCTCGGGCGCCGAGCGCCAATAAAGAGGCCAGCCGCAGGTGCGAGGGGTGGCCTTCTCCTCCTCCTCCTCCTCCTCGTCCTCCTCCTCCTCCTCTTCCTCCTCCTTCTCCTCCTCCTCCTTCTGCTCCTCCTTTTCCTCCTCCTCCTCCTCCTCCTCCTCATCTTCCTCCTCCTCCTCCTCCTTCTCCTTGTCCTCCGGGGGGCCTCTGAGATGGCAGGTGGCCTGCTGGAATCCCGCCCGGCTTCCAAGGAGCCTTCTTCGAAGCCTCCAGACTGTTCCCGGAGAGCCGTCGCCTTGTTCCACGCCCCACGCCTTCTCAGAAGGCCAGCCCCGTGTTCGCGACGCCACATGGAGTTGGCCGGAGAAGGTGACGAGGAGGGAGAGGAGGCAGAGGGAGAGGGCGGCGATGAGGAAGACAGGTTGGAGGCTGGAGGAGGAGGAGGAGGAGGAGGAGGAGGAGGAGGAGGAGAAGGAGGAGGAGGAGGAGGAGGAGGATGAGGAGGAACAGGAGGAGGAGGAGGAGGAGGAGGAGGCTGGAGGAGGAGGAGGAGAAAGAGGAGGAGGAGGAGGATGAGGAGGAACAGGAGGAGGAGGAGGAGGAGGCCCCGTGAACGTCAAAGCCATTACCCCGCCCTCCACCCACCAGCTCGGACTCGACGAGACCCCAGTCTTTCGGTCAGCTGGCAATCCCCGTTTTTCTCGGGGACGGACGCGGCATCGGGCACACGCTGCCATACGAGCAGCTGATCAACTGGCGAGAGGTGTCAGTACATCTCGGCGAAGTTCTGGGACTGAAGCGTGAACGCGACGTCTTGAAGCACCTGCAGCAGGATCCCCAGGCCCTCGTGGACAGCCTCCCGGGTGATCCTGGAGTGATCCTGGCGATGCGCCGGAGGCTTTGCGAGATCAACGACAAGTACTTTGCCACACCGGGTAAGCGCGCTGAGGCTGCTCTCAGGTCTGCAGCAGTTGTCCTGGCGACCAGAAAGGGCGCTGCCATCGCAACAAAGTGCAGCGTACGTGCGGTTATAGCCTGTCTGCAAGTGTTTTGTCCCAACCATCCTGTGGTGTTGGGTCCTCGTTTTGAAGAGACGGCGCCCCGTGTTCCTTCCTTCCCGCCCTCCTCCCCCTCCTCCCTCCTCCCTGCGTTTCACCCACCCAGTACAGCGTCTCGTGGCCCCGTAGGGAGCTCAGGCGAAGGCGCCCAGTGGCAGGGTTCGCATGGCGGCCTCGGGCCGTTTGGGCACACCCCTCACGAGGATCGTGGCCCCATAGGGAGCTTCACGGAAGGCTTCCAGTGGCAGGGTTCGCATGGCGGCTTCGGGCCATTTGGGCACACCCCTCACGAGGATCGTAGCCCCATAGGGACCTCCACCGAAGGCTTCCAGTGGCAGGGTTCGCATGGCGGCCTCGGGCCATTTGGGCACACCCCTCACGAGGATCGTGGCCCCATATGGAGCTCCACCGAAGGCTTCCAGTGGCAGGGTTCGCATGGCGGCCTCGGGCCATTTGGGCACACCGCTCACGAGGATCGTGGCCACATAGGGAGCTTCACTGAAGGCGCCAGCGACAGTGTTCGTACGGCGGCCTCGGGCCATTTCGGCACCTCTCACGAGGATCGTGGCCCCATAGGGAGCTCCACCGAAGGCTTCCAGTGGCAGGGTTCGCATGGCGGCCTCGGGCCATTTGGGCACACCCCTCACGAGGATCGTGGCCCCATAGGGAGCTCTACCGAAGGCCTCCAGTGGCAGGGTTCGTACGGCGGCCTCGGGCCATTTGGGCACACCCCTCACGAGGATCGTGGCCCCATAGGGAGCTTCACGGAAGGCTTCCAGTGGCAGGGTTCGCATGGCGGCCTCGGGCCATGTCGGCACACCCCTCACGAGGATCGTGGCCCCATAGGAGCTCCACCAAAGGCTCCAGTGGCAGGGTTCGCATGGCGGCCTCGGGCCATGTCGGCACACCCCTCACGAGGATCGTGGCCCCATAGGAGCTCCACCAAAGGCTCCAGTGGCGAGGTTCGCATGGCGGCCTCGGGCCATTTCGGCACACCCTCACGAGGATCGTGGCCCCACATGAGCTCCACCGAAGGCGCCAGTGGCAGGGGTCGCATGGCAGCCCCGGACCATTGCGGCACACCCCTCACGAGCATCGTGGCCCCATAGTTGTGTTGCTTCAACAACCGCACCTGGGCGTCGTACTCCGCCTTGTCGACGTGCAACGCCACCTCCTCCCTCACGGCTCTCAAAGCCCTCTCGTGCTTCTGCTCCTCGGTCAGAGGGACGCCGTCCTTGTCGTCGTCGGCGCCCGCGAAGACGGCCACGAACGTGTTCCTGAGCATCCCGGGCTCCGGCGGGAAGCCGTGGCCACACAGGGAGCGCGGGAAGATGGTATACACAATCGCGGTATTCACAATTGCATATGGTTGGGTCCTTCGACAGGCTAATTGTTGTACCTCTTCGCAGCGCGTGCGCGCCCTTGCTGATCCGGAATCGGTGGCCAGTGGCCGGTGATCTCCCGCACGGTCTCCCGCATGCTCTCCCGCATGGTCTCCCGCGTGCTCCGTCCCGCACCGTCTCCCCTGTGCTCCCCCGTGCGGTGTCCCGTTTGGTTTCCCGCGTGGCTCCCCGTTTGGCCTCCCGTATGGCCACCCGTGCTTTCACGTGTGTTCTCGGGTCTGTTCTCTTGTGTGGATGCTCCAGTCGGGTTTCCCGTATGATCTCCCGTGTGGTCTTCCGGATGCGCAGTGCGGGTCAATGTGCAGCTCCTCCTCTTTCAGGGGTCTATGTCGCCAGAGTATCTTGTCGGCCAGAGTGTGTCGTGTTATTTAATCGCTTCGCTCATTCCGCCGGCCCGTATTGTGCCATCGCAGGCGTTTGCTTGCGCGTTCGTGGCCTCTTGGAGCCTCGGTGGGGCCGTTTGGGGCCTCTTGGCGTCTCTTTTTAGGCCTCTTGGAGAACTCGGGAGGCCTCCAGGGGGCCTCCTGAGCTCTCGTGACGGTCTCTTGGGGGGCTTTCGGCGGGCTCTTGGCGGTATTTGTTGGTCCTCTTGGGGCCTGGGGCCTGACGTTGTTGGTCCTCTTGGGGCCTCACGGGAGCTTATTGGGGCGTCTTGGGGGTGTCTTGGAGAGTCTCTTGGGGCCTCTTTCGGGGTCCTGGGCGCCTTCTGGGGCGGAGGGCTCGATTTTTCAATTCTCGGTTCCCTTCTTGAGCCCCCCTCCTGGGCCCGTCTTGGGGCCTCTTGGTCCACCTTGGGCAGCACTTGGGCCGTCTGGGGGGCGCTCTTGGGCCGCTCCGGGGCCGTCTTGGGAGCCTCGTGGGCCGTCTTGGAGCAGTCTTGAAGGCCTCTTGGGCCCTCTTGGAGCGTCCGGAAGCGAAAAGGCCAGAACGCAAAAAAACATAGAAAAAACAAATGAAAATCAACGATTTTGGCAACTTGGGGCCCTCTTCGGAGGCCTCTTGGAAGGCCCTTGGAGCGTCTTGGAGGCCTCTTGGGCTGTCTTGGGGCCATCTGGGGCGTCTTCGGGCGATCTTTGGCCGTCTCGGGCCTCTCTTGGACCGTCTAGAAAGCTTCTCGGGGCCCTCTTGGACCGATCTGGAGCCCTCTTGGACTCCGAAAC